AAAAGGTGAAATCTTCTCGGTAGATATCATCATCCTTTGCCGCCAAAAAACTGTCTTTTTTTCCTCTTCTAAATGTAACTTTCGTAATTATGAACAACAAGTAATATCAGTGAGAAGAATAACCCATATTATTACAGGGGGAGGGGCTAATGAAGACTTGGGGAGGTTGGAGGGGTGAGGTACTTAGAAAGATACAAGTAGAAAAAAAATCAAACAAACAAAAAACGTAATGACCCTCTAACACACGGTGTTGAATTCATTCATATTTACACTACGTTTACTTTTTATTTTACACAAACTGATTTTTTTACATACTTTTTTTTACGTGTAAGTTTTTTTTTCTCCGCCTTCTTTACGACGAGACGATAAGAAATCGTCGACAAGGAATTGTTTTTTTTTGTTAGTCATTCTCATTTTTTATTCAAATGTCTTGAAAGATAAAAAAAAGGGAAAATTAGAGTCATATCAGAACACTTTTTAAAATACATTTATTAATTAATTAAGCTGTTTTTTCTTTTCTTTCTTTTTCAGTGATGTAAATTAGTTTTTTCGAAATGTTTTTTTGTTAATTAAAATCTATAATGATGATGATCACATCAGAAAACGTTTTCTCAAAACTTTTTTATTTGTCATTTAAATTTCTTTCTCCAGATGTTTCAAAATCTCTTTGTTTTTTATTTAATTTGTTTCTGTCCTTTTTTTTTTATTTTTTTTTCGTTAATGTAAAGAAAAAAAATTTCACTAAGACATTCTTTTCTACAAAATAAAGATTTTTCTTCAAAGTAAAACACTTAAACGGTGCTAGTTACTATTCATTGAATTTTAAATAAATAAAGCTATGTACAATTAAATAGTTTTTTCAAAGTTGATCTCTCTAACTGATCGAGGAAATTTTAAAACCAACAAGAAGTTGTTTATTTAATTTATTTATTTTACCAAAACTGTTGTTTAGGAACACGTGCAAAAAGAATTTTCCTTAAGTAAAAATAATATATTTTAAGGAAAAATGACAAACAAATTCTGGTAATAAATAAAAATCTTAAATATATCTTGTTTTTTCTTAACCAACAAGAACTAAAATCAATCTACGCATTTGTTTTTTGCCGTATCAGGCCAACTATCTAAAGCGTCTATCTATCTAAAAATACATCTATATCTTTACATTTATACAACGTTAATGCTATCTACGTATATCTGTTTAATTTTTAAATAACTATCAGTAATCACATGTCTACGCATCTATCTTAAATCTAGATGAAAACAATTAACGTATTTCTTTTATCTACAACGTTAGTGCTTTTTTTCATATTACCCTACAACACAATAATATTAAAAAAAAAAAAAATGTCCTAATAGCTGTTAAAAGATGAAAACAATAATTATAAAGTTTAAGTTTTCCTTAGTACACATTACTAAAAAAAGTGACAAAAGTCAAACTTTGAATTATAAAAAGTTTGGGCTTTATAATCCGGAAAAGAATATGGTTTTGTCAAAACTTTACACCACATTCACTAGGGCGTTTTAATACCAGTAAATATGGTTTTCAAAATTTACTGGTTCGATGTTTTACTGTAGATCTGTCCTTTTTAAAATAGTAAGAGTAGATTTTTTTAAAGACAAAAGTAAACTTCTCACACTTACCTGGCAGGCATTTTTGAGTTCATATTGTCGTGTATCCTGACGGCTGTTCACGACATATAATATGGTAGTTGGATTCAACTGAAAACAAACAACAGTTTTGATTTCAACAGTTCGATAAAAAAAACAAACAACGTTATATTCAATTCCACAAAGATAAAAAAAAGAAAAAAATCTTCTCGGTAGATATCATCATCCTTGCCGCCAAAAACTGTCTTTTTTCCTCTTCTAAATGTAACTTTCGTAAATATGAACAACAAGTGTATCAGTGAGAAGAATAACCCATATTACAGGGAGGGCTAATGAAGACTTGGGGAGGTTGGAGGGTGAGGGTACTTAAAGAAAGATACAAGTGAAAAAAAATCAAACAAACAAAAAAAACACACGGTGTTGAATTCATTCATCTTTACACTACGTTTTCATTCATATTTACGTTTGCTTTTTTTTTTTACATATTTTTTTTACGTTTTAAGTTTTTTTTTCTCCGCCTTCTTTACGACGAGACGATAAGAAATCGTCGACAAGGAATTGTTTTTGCGATTTAGTCATTCAAGGTTTTTTCATTTTTTATTCAAATGTCTTGAAAGATAAAAAAAAAAGGAAAAATTAGAGTCATATCAGAACACTTTTAAAAATACATTTATTAATTAATTAAGCTGTTTCTTTCTTTCTTTCTTTTTCAGTTGGGTGATGTAAATTAGATTTTTCGAAATGTTTTTGTTATCATTCCTTACGATGCTGCTGCTGATAATGATGATGATAAACACCTGCTTAGATAAGGTTTTCCTTGAGATAATAATCGAGGACAATAAACTTTTTATTTGTCTAAAATGCGGCTCTCTTTGAATTTCTTTCTCCATAAAAGCACAATAGATGTTTCGTTAGATCTTTCTTTCTTTCTTTCTTTCTTTCTTTCTTTCTTTCTTTCTTTCTTTCTTTGTGAATTTGTTTCGTCCTTTCTTTTCCCCCCTTTTACATTTTTGTTTTTCTTTTACAATGTAAATGCCTTTCTAATTAAAAAAAAATTCTCTGTAAAAAACTGTATTGTTAAGTTCTGTTAAGACATTCTTTTCTAATTTTTTGCGTCTAAATGTTTTTTTTAATTTTTTCTTAAAAGTAAAACACTTTTAAACGGCTGCCAGCTATCTATCTATCTATCTATCTATCTATCTCTACCATCCTATGTACAATTAAATAAAATTGTGCTAGTCTTTTTCAAAGTTGATCTCAATAGGTTAGAAAGAAGAGAACGAGAAAAATGCGTCGAGGAAATAAATAAACGAATTTAAGTTAATAATGCTAAAAAGTATTTAGATTATTTTATTATTGATGCATTTCATTCTTTCTTTATTCTTTCTTTCACTCCATAGCTGCTTGCGACATGCCCCTGGGCTATCAATAGGTTAACAGAGAGAGAGAGAAAGGAGATATAAAGAAAAGAAAGATAGAGAAAAAGAAAGAGAGAGAAAGAGAGCGAGAAGGAGAGAAAGAAAGAGAGTATAAAGAAAAGAGAGAGAAAAATAGAAAGAGAGAGAAAAATAGAAAGAGAGAGAAAGCGAGAGAAAGAGAGATGAAGAGAAAGAAATAAAAAGAAAGCAAGAAGAAAGAGAGAGAGAGAGAGGGACAGAGAAAAAGAAATAGAAAGAGAGTGAGAAAGAAAGAGAGTGAATGAAAGAGAGAAAGAAAGAGATAGGGGACAGAGAGAAAGAGGCTAAGAGAGAGAGAAAGATAAAGAGAGAGGAAGAGAGAACGAGAGGAAGTGAAAGAAAGAAAGAAAGAAAGAAAGAAAGAAAGAAAGAAAGAAAGAAAGAAAGAAACAGACAAGACAGGACTAGGAGAGTTTCGGATAGATTCAAATTAAAATATTACGAACATTACCAAGAGAAATGGCGAGAGAAACATGAATAATAATAATAAAAAATATATATATATAGTAGACATTGTAACTCGTCGACATTTCATCTGTTTCGGCTTTAACGACTCCAAATATTAATAGATAGCAACGAACTTGGCTCGAGGTAGGCAGTAAAATTATACGCCAGTAAAAGAATTTATAAACTGCAAAAGAATGCTGAACAAGATATTTAGCAAGTCATTAAATGTGCATTAATGTTGATCCTTACTGAGTGACTTATATTCGTGGTTTTCTTCGAGCCAAAGTTCACAATCAGGTTCAGGAGATCCGTAACACATTAGAGTCATAGTGGTACCATCTGTACTGCAGGCGTCGCAGCAAAAGTTGCGTCCATGGCGAAATAGTCTAACGTGATCCACTTCTCATCGGGCTGATTTTTAATTCAATGTTGTCCTTCTTCTAGGTTGGTTGCCCTAACAAGACTAAAGTGTCCAGTCTGCCATATTATTTACGAGGGCTTGAATTCAGTTTTTTTTTTCACCTAGACTGACTGCTACTCAAGGAAAAAGATCCCAGTTTGCTTTTATTTAAACCATAAATGAGAGTAGATGGATCCTTACCTTTTCCAAGGGATAGATAGATAGATAGATAGATAGATAGATAGATAGATAGATAGATAGATAGATAGATAGATAGATAGATAGATGTGGTGAACAAAATGATTTAGATAGATCGTGAACAGAATGATTTAGATAGACATACAGAATGCGATAGATAGATAGATAGATAGATAGATAGATAGATAGATGTTGTGAACAAAATGATTTACATAGATCGTGAACAGAATGATTTAGATAGACATACAGAATGCGATAGATAGATAGATAGATAGATAGATAGATAGAGATAGATAGATAGATGAACAAACAAAATGATTTACATAGATCGTGAACAGAATGATTTAGATAGACATACAGAATGCGATAGATAGATAGATAGATAGATAGATAGATAGATGTTGTGAACAAAATGATTTACAAAGATCGTGAACAGAATGATTTAGATAGACATACAGAATGCGATAGATAGATAGATAGATAGATAGATAGATAGATAGATAGATAGATAGATGTTGTGAACAAAATGATTTAGATAGATCGTGAACAGAATGATTTAGATAGACATACAGAATGCGATAGATAGATAGATAGATAGATAGATAGATAGATAGATAGATAGATAGATAGATAGATAGATAGATGTTGTGAACAAAATGATTTCAATAGATCGTGAACAGAATGATTTAGATAGACATACAGAATGCGATAGATAGATAGATAGATAGATAGATAGATAGATGTTGTGAACAAAATGATTTCGATAGATCGTGAACAGAATGATTTAGATAGACATACAGAATGCGATAGATAGATAGATAGATAGATAGAGAGATAGATAGATAGATGTGGTGAACAAAATGATTTAGATAGATCGTGAACAGAATGATTTAGATAGATAGACATAGAGAATGCGATAGATAGATAGATAGATAGATAGATAGATAGATAGATAGATAGATAGATAGATGTTGTGAACAAAATGATTTCGATAGATCGTGAACAAAATGATTTAGATAGACATACAGAATGCGATAGATAGATATAGATTTAGATAGATGTGGTGAACAAAATGATTTAGATAGATCGTGAACAGAATGATTTAGATAGATAGACATACAGAATGCGATAAATAGATAGATAGATAGATAGATAGATAGATAGATAGATAGATAGATAGATAGATGTGGTGAACAAAATGATTTAGATAGATCGTGAACAGAATGATTTAGATAGATAGACATACAGAATGCGATAGATAGATAGATAGATAGATAGATAGATAGATAGATAGATAGATGTTGTGAACAAAATGATTTCGATAGATCGTGAACAGAATGATTTAGATAGACATACAGAATGCGATAGATAGATAGATAGATAGATAGATAGATAGATAGATAGATAGATAGATAGATGAGAGTAGATGGATCCTTAACTTTTCAAATGATAGATAGATAGATAGATAGATCGATGAACAAAATGATTTAGATAGATCATGAACAGAATGATTTAGATAGACATACAGAATGCGATCGATCGATCGATAGATAGATAGATAGATAGATAGATAGATAGTATGAAACAAAATAGACTCGGTCAGAATTTGAACCCGGCGCAACATTTCCACTTTCTACCTCGATAACCTTTATACTTCTTCGTTTATATGCCATGTCCTTTCAGGACGTAGGCGATCATGGCTCTCCACCTCTCTCTATCCCCTGCAGCTCTCGACAAGTTCCTTCCCTCTGCTTCGTCCAACAGACCACGTTCTGTCATCCATCTGCTCAAGCTCGCCAGATGTGTCACGCGCTGCTTTCCCTTGTCTCAGCTTCCCCCTATTCGACCCGTGAGTATCAAATTCTCCAGGCCTTCCTTCCTCATTATGTGTACCAGAAACTTCATCTGCCTCTTCTTGATGTTAAGTATAAGCTTCCTCCTTGTTTGCATCCTCTCTAAGACCTCATCGTTGCTCATTCGCTCGGTCCATGATATCCTTAGCATCCTTCTGTTGAACCACATCTCCGTCGCCTCGAGTCTCTTCTTCATTTTTGGGGAAATCGTGCAAGAAAGACAGATGTTACGTAACAGCTCAGTATTCTTTCATTTGTTACCAAAGAAATCCTCCTCTCTCGTAATACTCTGCCTAGCTTTTGGAATGTCTTCTTGGCCATCCCAATACGTCTACGGATCCCAGTGTCGCACTTACCGTCCTCTCTCAAAACGCTTCCCAGATATTTAAACTCCCGTGTCTTCTTGAATCTAGCGTTTCTACGTGCCTACGTCAGGAATAACTGCCTACTATGCTATCTTTTCCCAGAATTCGTGATCGTACGCAGTTATCGATATGTAAACCCAGTTTTCAAACTTGACATTAAATAAAGTTAATAAAAGGAACCTTTAGGAGTATCTCAACGTGGTGTAATGGTTAGCAAGTTTTTCTCGTTAGATCCATTTCGACTTAGTAGTGAATTCGATCCACTCTGTGCGCTCCATACTTTAGGCCTTGTGCCATATCTAAGCTAAGCGGATAACACTTTAAGAAGTCAAGGATCGATTTGACACTGTATTTATACAATGAGCAAGACCCTCACACTTCTAAAATTAGTATTTTTACATTCTGACAAAGCTGAAGGTAGAGAAATGCATAGTAAATTCTAATCTACAAAAAATGTTTTTAAAAAATCCCTGTTTATTTTTTACAAGCAGACCAGTTAGCTTAAGTCGTTCCCTTATTTTTTTTAAAGCTAGCTCCAGCCCTGAATTCTTCAAGTTGCTTTCCATTCTGGCAAGATAGCATCTCTGGCTCCAAATGAGGTCATTAAATCTTTTTTATTCAGCTGAATTACCATTCCGAAGTGATAGCAATGGCTCTGGAGAAACTGGTAGATCTTCTAGTTGTATCTTTCCTTTATTACAGCACGTCCCATCTGATCCATCCTTGAATCTGAGAGCATTACAATGCTTGCCCTGAATGATCATTAATCCAATAGATATCCTTGGATAATTTGAATAGTCACTGTCACAGTTATACTGAAAAGCCAACTCGGGTAGGCTGAAGAAAGAAGCTGCAATTCTTTTAGTATGATTGTGATTATCACTAACCTACCTAGCATGTCTTTCATCAGTTGTTACCAAAGATCTTGCTCTTCTATGGTTTGCGTCATCTCTTTCTATCCTTGGTAAAGTCTGACTGCCATCCTCTATAGTTCTTGATCTTCTCTCCTTTGCTCTATCCACTTCTTGTTTTGATGAAGCTTCACTGTCATCTGCATCTCTTGACCTTTTTTTCCTTGCAGCATCTGCTTCTCTCCTGGCTTGTACCTCTTCTGATGATTCAGATGCTCTTCATCTTCTTTCGTTTGCAGCATCTGCTTGCTTTCTAGCTTGTGCCTCTCATGCTGTTGCTTCTGCTTTTTTTCACCTTTTGCCTTAGATCTCTGGTCTTTGGGTTTTTTTTCATGGCTTTTTGAAGAAATAATTCCGAATTCCTCAGTTCACTACATGAAACTTCAAAACGTCACTCTAATCATAATTTGGGCTATAAGTCCAATTCCGGTCGAAAGACCGATTTGGGTCAAAAGTCCGATTTGGGCCGAAAATACGATTTGGACAGAAAGTCCGATTTTGGCCGAAAATACGATTTGGGCCAAAAGTTCGATTTTGGTCGAAAGTACGATCTGGACAGAAAGTCCAATTTTGGCCGAAAGACCGATTTTGGCCCAAAGTCCGATTTGGGCCGAAAATACGATTTGGACAGAAAGTCCGATTTTGGGAGAAAATACTATTTGGACAGAAAGTCCGATTTTGGCAGAAAATACGATTTGGGCCAAAAGTTCGATTTTGGTCGAAAGTACGATCTGGACCGAAAGTCCAATTTTGGCCGAAAGTACGATTTGGGCCGAAAACACGATTTGGGCTGATTTGGTTCCAATTCAGGCCGAAAAATGAGTTCTTCAAATCACAAATTCTTCGATACTTCAAAATCCCACGTCACAAAACCCCTGACTTTAACTCTGATTCCTTGGTATTTTGAAGAAATAAAATTGATTTTCTCAATTCACAAACTTTTAGATATATCTTAAAATTAAGAATTAAACATTTTTAAATTCACAAATTTTTTGTGTTACTTTAAAATCAATATAAATTAAAAACTTTTAAAATCACTAATTTTTTCAGTTATTTTAAAATTTGAATTTTTAACTGTTCCCTCCTGATCCGTACACAAATCCCAATGCTAGATGTTCAAGCACCGTATGAAGGGCTCTCAATCCTGGGATTATCCTGATTCGAAAAAGATGTAATATATCTGTGTAGATCAAGTATGGCCCGAGTTAGAGGGGTTTCAGAAACACAGACATACAGACAGAATATGCCGTTTACTTATTTAGATTACATAATTTCAAATTTTTTCTAACTTTTTAAAACCGAATTCTTTTATTGGATATTTGGAGTACAACCCTAACCGTCGTGTTCCACAATTTTATCTCTTTTTCCGCGATGCCAAAGAGGATTTTCTGGTCGGTCAGAATTCTGAAATCTCAAAGTATCTTATTCTTCTCATTTTCTATGCAAGTTTCTAATTTATCTTGATAATAGTCTTTTTTCACATGGCTAAACTCAAATTGCTTGCACTGTTCCCGATGTATCCGTATTCCTGCTCTATCATACCTGCAATATTATTATTATGCCTTTAAATTCCTTGAGTAACATAGGAGCACAAGATATCGTTGCGGTTTCTATAACGATCCAGTTTTTTTTTTAAGTAAATAGGTTGTTAGCCTACTGCGCAACCCTCATTCCTTTTCCTAGATCAGTTGCCATCCAAGGTTATAGAACCCGGTCTGTCCCGCTATTTACCCATAGCCGGGTGGATTCATAACTTTTCCCAAGGGTATTAGCATGTAAGCGAATGTAATGGATTCGACTAGAATTCGAACCCGGCTCTCCGATTCCTTAATCCGAGCCGCTATTCATTATTTAACCGTACTTTCTATAGCCTTGGTTGGCAACTGGTCTAGGAGAAGGCCAACTCTGAATTCAAAACTTGCTGAGGGTCGTTTGGGGATCTTGTGGTACATGGTCACCAGTTCACATTGGATGTTTTATTTATATTTCTTCTATACAACTGGTAATTATGCTTTTATTCTCAGCTACAATGCTTATGAACTTCGTTTCTCTTTTCAGGTGTCCTCTACGTAATTATGCCTATGACTGTCTCCCATTTAAATTTTTTAGATATTTATTTTCCCATTTTCTTTCTTTGTGTTCTTAACTGTTTGTTATGCTTTTATTTCTGCATACACACTTTTAGACAGATTGCAGGATATATCAACTGCAAGTTGTGCATATTTCTCAGGTCTTCCGATATTGATGAATCCTCTTTCCTTTTCTTTTGACATATAGCCTGTCATTTAATATCAGCCCCGTTTTGTCGAGACTTGTACATGGTCATTAACTCCCTAGTTAACCCGTCGATCGCTGAAGTCTTCTTTTGTCCAGCCTAGTAAGGGTTCTGAGCATTTCACGTAACGTCTTCATCCTTTTTATTAATTTTGCGTCCTGGCTATGACGATAAACTACATCCGCGTCCTGGGTAAGACATTAAACTACGTCCAGCAGCAAGGCCTCTAATCAGGTGATTTTGAGGAGCGTGGAAACACCTCTTAATTGATGGTGTTCCCAGGTCCAACCTGACCCGGGGTGGTAGCACCTGTTAGGGTCCCAGCTATGTGCAAATAGTTAACCCCGAAACTGGGATCAAAACACTATGAAAGTGTAAAAATAGGTTTTAATACCAGAAATACTTTGTAAATAATTATCAGCGATAAATTTTTGAAGAAGTAAAAACTATTACCAACAATACGTTTTTGAAAAAAAAATATTACCAGCAATACATTTTTGAAGGAAAAAATTATTACCAGAAATAGATTTTTAACAAAACAAAATATTACCAGCAATAAAAATTTTGTAGGCATTAAATAACCCATTGAGATGGATATGCCGTAAAACAAAACAAAACAAACCAAACCAAACTTTTATTAATTTTATACTGTTTACTTTGGTTTCGGATATTTTTCATATACTTCTAAAATATTTCTTTCGAGGATTTTTCCTTCAGTTCTGTCTTTATTACGTCGTAATCGAATGACCCAAGCTATTTGTAGCGATTCATTTCAGTTAATAGGTCTTCAAAACTAAATTTCTCTGTATTAATCATCTGAAAGACCCCTTTCTGGTTTCCATCAACATGGCTGATGCTAACTCCAGGAGAGTGACTCAGGCTAACGTTCTCAGCTAAAATGAAGTGGAAAGACTATATTGAATTCATTGCTAGGTCAGTTGCTAAGAAAGTCGGGTCACTGTGTCGTGCGAGACAATTTTTCTCTCCGGAATCTATCTTGCATATCTATAAGTCTACCAATCGTTCAGGCTTGGAACATTACTGCCATTTATGATCTGGTGCTTCTGCTATTTACCTGGAGCTCCTTGATAAGACTCATTAGGAATCAGCAATATTAAAGGTCCTGATCTGGCGGCTCGGTTTCAGTCACTTGCCCATCGCTGTAAGGTTGACTCTCCATGTCTTTTTTATAAATACTTTCATGGTAATTGTTCGGACGA